CAAAAGGCAAACGGGACGCTTTACTCAACGAGCAAATAATTACAAATTGTTTCAATTGAAATGTTTGAACATATTTTCTTTTCTTTTTTTTCCATTTTGAATTAGATTAGCAATGTTTCGGTGTTTTACAGCGTTAAAAGCTGATGATCCGACTCGAAATGGGTTAATGTTTTCATCAACTTTCATCATGAACAATACTAAATATGCGTAAGATTGTTTCCACAGCATCGAACATTTTACCAACGAATTAAGAGTAACTTCATAATAATTTGGCCTTAAATTGCTGGCCCATTCAATTATTTTTTTTTTCTTTTTTTTTCGAGAGGAGCAGCTCTCGCTTGTAACATTCCAATGGTGAAACATTCGTGTGTGCTCTATAAATAAATGCATGGGAAATTTTCTCATTGAAATTGCATTTGACGAAGCCAATTGCAATCGAATCGAGTTGTAAATCCGTACATTTAATGATTTGTTTTCATTGAGCTTGTCAACGAAATCAGCATATAATTGAATGTTTGGTGCATGCACTTAAAAAAAGCAGCAGCTCAAATTATCGCCCATTTTCACCGTACGATACCAATTTTGCGAGCTGGGCTGACAGTGTGAGAGAACGAGAGAGAGAGAGAGAGAGAGAGAGAGAGAGGGAGCGAGAGCGAGTGTGTGTGTATTCGAAATCGCAAAATTCTACCGCGACGCATAATTATCATCATAATCATTATCCTTCATTAATGAGAGCAATAAAAAAGCGGCACAGCCCATTTATCAAAGGAAAATGTCACTGTTGCAATTTCGACATCATCCCATCTTTTCATGAGCGACAGTTCACTCGCTCACAGCACGAATCGAATGTCGAACGGCGACAGCACAACTCACACACACACTGTCGAGCAAAAAAGAAGAGAAAAAAACGCAGCGCCGGTGCAGAGTTTATGCTGATGAATGTATAAAATTGTGAATCAAGTTAGATTTGTTTTCTTCCTTCTTTTTCCCATTTTCTACATAGTGCATACTCAATTTTGCCACTAATTATGCCCTCCGGTTACGTGCGTCACAGGCAAAGACGACGGAAAAAGCCAACCCGAAATGAAATAATTTCATCGTGTGTCAAAACCCTATCGAAAAGTGCCTTTCAGTTACAGTTCGACCGCTTTTTTTTCTCTATCGCTCGTTTGCTCTCGTTAGTTTTCAGTGTTAGTTGAAAATCAAAGTCGCCGAGATTCGGTTGGTCGGTCGGTTGGGTTGCTCGTATACGGGAAAATCATTGCGATTTCAATGCATAACTTCCATTCCACTGGAATCGATTATTTTCTCTCCCATTTCTCGCCGCCACATAGCCATGCATAGCCAGTCAGTCAGTCTCTCTGTCCCGGGTTCGGGGTTTATGTGCTAGCAGACGACAACACAGCAGACGAAAATTTTCGAAATTGATTTGCATAAATGTCAATGGGGTCAAAAATAATAGTCATAAATTATACCGAACATTTGTAAATGAATTTCCATAAATTGAGTGCTGATTTTGTTTGCTTGTATGCGAGTAATTGGATTTTATCGATCGGTCGAAAACGAGATTTGCCAACCAAAAGCATATGCAACACACTCACCGACTGCTCAAATCCAATTCGATTGAAAATTACCTGGCAAACTTGCTGAAAATCGAAATACGTTTTGTGTATTTTACACATTTTCCCTTTTGTTAAGCACATTGGACTGTGTGTCCGAAGCGAATAGGAAGAGAAAGAAAAACTCATCGTCGAATTTTCGATTCTAAAAGGTGAAAAATCGTTCGTTCAATTCATTTGTCAGCGGAATGCTGTCGAAAAGAGTTTATCGCTTCTTGAGCTATACACATGACGGCACGCACCTTCTTTCAATTCACATTATATTCTTTGGTGTTCTTTCAATTGGCGTTCCGTCATTTCTTTTTATTCTCTCTCTCTCTATCGCTTTGACTTTTTTTGCGTGTATTGTAAAATGTTTTTCACCTCTTCATCGTCGTGGCTGTGCGCGCTACGACGTTTTTTTTATGTAATTGAAGACAAGGAACAAGCGCGAATCATGTCAAAGTACTTGAAACACTTATTGATTTTTTTTCTCTCCTCTCTCATTCAGTTTGTTCTTGAAATTTCTCTTTGTGTGTACATGAATTTCTTTTGTTGTTACTCTCAATTCGATTTTTTTCCTCTGCTGCTGCTGCCTTCAGCTTCTTCTCCTCGCAGCTAGCTTTGCCATTGTTGTGTGCGGTGGTTTGGCTTTATTTTGGCTCTCTTCGGCTGCCTTTTACGTTTTCTCTCGTTGCGAATATGCTCGACAAATGGTTTCTTGCTGATTGAATTGAATCGGTGCCGCGCTGTGAATGTGTGTGAGTGTATTTGTGTTTCCGGCAATATTGATTGCAAGCAAATCTTATTTTTGTCGATTCAATGAATGTCAGCCCAATATACATGTATATTTGAATGCGATGTGGTTTTTTTTGTCGGTCGTCGTCGTAGTCTTCTTCTTCTTCTTTTTGTTGTGAAAGTTAACACGTGGAATTTACAATGGAAATTCAATTCGATTTTTTTTTCGTTTTTTTTTGTCGTTTATTTCTTGTCGTCGCCGTCATGAATATCGATTTTATGGGTACTAGAACTTTTCGTCAATCTCGGTGTGATTTCGCTTTTTTTTGCGCCAGATCAAATTTTACTTTCTAGCAAATTTGGTCACAAAGTATTTTCTCCGGACGATTTTTTTCACATTTCTATTGTGAAAGTTTGTTGTTTTAACAGTATTTCGGGTCGTTGTACTCGATCTGTTTAAATGAGACTACCCATTCGCCAAAAACACTTGCCACCACAATATTCAGTCGGTAAAAAGTGAATTGGATAAACAAAAACGAAATAATTTGTCCAATATAAAATTGGTTATGAAACCAAATCGCTTTTATTTGGCTTATATATTTGAGCCAATCGAAATTTTGTTTGTTTTAAAATAACTCTCACCGCAACGATTGAAACACCTATCTGTCCCTCTTTATGTTTATTTCTAAAAAAAAACGAGAGAAGCCACGCTTGCAAATATTCGGTCATTGTACCGATAGATATACCGTAAAAACTAAAACAAAAATAACACTGAAATATGTGGATTTCGATTGTTTCCCTCTCGAATAGATACAACAAAACGTGTGATATGACGCTAATAATAACCCCAAAGGAATGCGGTACATGTACGTCGAGTATAGCCAAGCCGACAATAATTTCACCCTATATTTATTTATCGAAAGCTCAGAACTTTACTTCGGGGAAGTTTTGAATCGTTTCGCATTGAAACAGGAATTACTGCAGTCTTGCCATAGTGAAGAAAAAATAAAACTATCATCGGAATCTCGAAATGTAGAGTAAAAATTTTGCGATAGAGCAAAAGAGAGTCGAGGAGAAAAAAACTAGACACACGATGCGAATAGCAAAGAAATCAACAAAATGTATTTGAAAATGTTTTGCAGAGTTCGAGCGAAAACATGGAAAAGAAGATTTCACATTTTAAACACGAGCAAGAGAGTATTTCATTTCCATTGATACGGTTGGCCGCTGTTTTGCCTCGACGACGACGACGTAGAAAAAAAAATGGCAGAAAAATTTAGGTGAAAACTGCAAACGAATTTTTGTCGCATTCACAACCAAAAATACACTTTGTTTTTTCTTCTTTTGGCCGAGAGACAACTACGGCATTCCCTGCATTGATTTCGATGTGTGCGACAAACGCAAGAAGAAAAAAAAATGCTTATTTATTTTGCTGCTGGCGTTTACTGTATACAGCAATTTTTTTTCTTCGCCGAATTTCCGTTTAAGCTTCCTTTACTTTGGTCTCTAGCTCTGCGTGTCTTTTTTTTTCACTCAATCTCTCTGGCTCTCTTTTTTCTCTCGACTCTTTGTTGCAAACTATATGAGGAAAAAATTCGATAGTTTTTTCTTCTCTTTCTCGACATTTTCGGACGGATTTCGAGCGGCAAGGATACTATTAGAAGCCAGTCAAAGCACCGATAAATTCATCGTAAAAATTTAATAATTTTTGCGCTTTTGCAAAACCCTGAACAACGAAGAAGAACACACATAATCATCGACATCTCTTCAGCGCGTTGAAATATGCCGAACAATGTTCGATGCTTTGGCTGGAGTATGAAGATGAAGGTACACAACGACGGGCCAAGACATGCGCATGCGATCCAATTTATTTTACTACTCGCTATTCTTTTTTTCATTCGCTCATACATCCGACTCTATGTACACTCACATACAGTGTGCGTGCTTGTGTATCGTCATCAGCCGCATCTGAGAGAGCAGAGTTGTTGTTTTTTTTTCGTTCGGCTGATATGAACACTTCGCTTCAGCAAATTACATATAGTATTTTTCAGTCGGAGAGTTGAACGGATCTACACAGCTCATGGTATTGAATTCAATGTGGCAACAGTGCATTTTCATGGGGAATGTGCTCCGCCTTCCATATATGCAAACATGCGTCCCGTTCGGCGCCCGTGATTGGTTGACTAAGCTGCTGAACAGGCGTCACTCGGTCTTCCAAGTATTTGCTGAGTATTTGTAATTTATGTCTCGTAGGCTTACTAACTCACACACATGCACGCAGGTACACAGGCACAGCAACGAACCAAGCAAGAACTACAATCTCACAGTGTTACATACATACACCAATGGACACACACGCTACGTGACACACATACAAACGAATACGCTCGAGATTTCCACTCATGTCTATAGTGTGCATTGGACGAACTGAAGAGCCGAAGAAATGCTAAGCGGTGGGGATTATTTGTTATTCGTCGAACGTTACCAACGCAGGTAACGATCGTGCGCCGAAGCAGGACAGAGCGATATACGTTCAAGGCTGTGTGTGAGCGTATATGTGTGTGTATGGATTAGTAAACGGTTTTTCTCTCTTGTCGAGCACCTAAAACAGGTTTGATTGGAAACGTTTACGACAAAACAGAAAGGTGCTCACTGCCAAACGTTCTGGTTGTTTGTTCATAACGCGAGTATCTCTCGACTGGTGAGCGCACAACTTTTTGTTTGTTCCGTTCGACTCTCTAACTCATCGATATATATATATTATTATAAAAAAAAAGAAAGTATACAAAACCTTAAGAATTATTCCTCGCAAAACAGTTACACAAATTTATTTGTTTCTGCGTAGTAAGAATTTCTAAACAAAAAACAAAGTTAAACGATAACAGCTGCAATTCAGTTTTTGTGTTTTCATTTTCAAATGAAAATTATTTTTAGTTTTCAACGCATTATCCAAACTTCGCTTATCAAAAAGAAGGAAAATTAGTGTTTTTGCACTTGAATAAGCGAAAAAAGAGAACCAATTTTTCTACGGTTGAGTTTGTGTTTTTTTAGTGTAACAAAAACTGGTTTAAACAAACTCGAAGACATTTCGCCAAATCAACACAAAGACTAATAGGATCAAGTGATGGTGAATTCATTGAAAGAAAAAAATCTGCGCTCAGGAAATCAACAAAAAAGCATGATTTAATCCAACAGATTTTGGATAAAGGATTTCTGCGAAAAAAAATGTGTGTTTAGTGTAAATTAAAAATCACTGAGTTTTTTCTTTCTTCAACCCGGCGAAATAAAAATAATTAGACAGACAAAGTGGAACCAACGCTTGAAGAACAAAGTCATAGCAATTAGACTAGACGAAAAGAAAAGAGAAAAAAAGCGAAATTTTTCCAAAAATTAAAACAAATTTGTTGAAGTGATTTCATCGAAAAGTTTGTCAAGCTGTTCGCGCATAGGGAAGTAGACGATATGTTGACGATGGAGTCTGATATGAAAGGTGGCATTTTACATGCGACAATGCCACCGCATCATCCATCATCGTTGCACAGTCACTCATCATCGCCATACGGCGCATTAGGGTCGTTGAGCATGATGAACATTGGCCAATCACAATTATCACAATCGCAACTATCGCATCAGTATCAACACAACAACACTAGTTCAAATATGTTAAATCTTGCATCGCAACATCATTCACAAGCCCATAATGCTCATACATCGCCGTTGCATTCACAACAAGCTGGCCTCAGCCCGGTCAGTTCGCAGCAAACGCAACAACAACAACAACAACAACAGCAGCAGCAACAAACACAAAATCAAACCTCGCTCGGTGGACATCACATCACATCATCAGCTCAAAATCATCCACATGGCCTTACATCCAACAACAACAATAATACAAGCAACAAAAATCAAAATATCGATCGTGTGAAACGGCCGATGAACGCATTTATGGTATGGTCACGTGGACAACGTCGCAAGATGGCATCAGACAATCCAAAAATGCATAATTCCGAGATTTCAAAGCGATTAGGCGCCCAATGGAAGGATCTGTCGGAAAGTGAGAAACGTCCATTCATCGATGAAGCGAAACGTTTGCGTGCCGTTCACATGAAAGATCATCCAGACTACAAATACCGACCACGTCGCAAAACAAAGACCCTCACCAAAAGCAAAGACAAGTATCCACTTGGCGTTGGTTCACTGCTTCAATCATCCGATCCAAATGGCATTCGCAATTCCAACTCAATATCGGCGGCTGCTGCTGCCCAACAGGCCGCCAATCGTGACATGTACCAAATCCCACCAAATGGTTACATGCCAAACGGTTACATGATGCACGATCCATCGTCATACCAAAATCAACATCACAATGCGTACATAAGCAATTATCATGGATACGATATGAGCCGAATGCACGGTGCAACGGCCGGCACATTGAATTCATACATGAACGCAACCGGTTATGGAATGTATGGTACCGTGTCGGGCGGTCAAACATCACCCTATGGCAGTGTTGGTCAACAGCCCAGTTCACCGTACAGCAATGTACAACAGCAGCCAAGCTCACCGTACGGTGGCATCAATCAGCCCGGTTCCCAATTATCGTGCCAAAGTCACAGTCCAAGTGATTCTAGTGTAAAATCAGAACCAGTTTCACCGAGTCCAATGCACGATATGCGCAACAATTCAGCCGCTGCCGCTGCTGCCGCCGCCGTCGCTACAAACAATAATCTCATGAAACGTGAATATCAGCATCCGAGCTCGGGCGACGGTCTCAACAACATTATCAATATGTATCATTTACCTGAATCAATGCAAACGGCCGATCATCATCGAAATTTAATGCACTACCAAAATAGCCTATCGCCCGATTTGCATCAAAACCAATTGCGGCAAATGGCACCGTTGCCAAACATGTGAGATTCAAACAATGATCGCAGTTTTCAACCGCAGTCATCGATCTATGAAAATAATTTAATTTGGTAGAAATACAGATAAAAATGAAACAAAAAAACACACAAAGCGTAGGTATTATGAGAGTAAATAATTGTGACATGATTTCAAGTAATGACAGAAACAAAAACAAAAACCGAAAAAAATAAATAAATCGAAAACACACACAAGCGACACAGAAACAGTGAGAGCATATGCGAGAACCGAAGTAGATCAAAATGATGATACACACACGTAGAATGTGAGAGATCAAAAGCTTGCACAGCATGAATTCCCAGGTATTCATACACTAAATCTCATTTCTCGATTCCTTCTGCATTTGCTACTAGAATCAAACGAATTTGATGCTCGTTGCGACCCAACGGACGACAGAATATCATCAAATTCGGTGGTAGTGTTGCGAAAGGATGACGGAACGGTTCTTCGATGATGAAAAAAAAACATATTTAGTTTATAATTGAAAAAACGATTCTCTTATCATTATTCGACTCGACCCTATTATTGCGCCAAGAAATATGCAACAAATTCATTTCTTAAGAAAATTCACGAACAAGTCGC